TATTGTGTGGTAATTATAGTGGGTGCAGGAAGAATATATTCCTGCCAGCACTGCTGCTTAATTAGGGCAAGGGGCGGAATCTAGATAAGGCTGTGTTCACCCTCCTTCAGTGCATATGGTTTTTTTGGCATCATAGTCCTGTGGACTGTTTCACTTCCTCTGGACTGAAGTGCTGAGTTCCCACTACACTCTACAGAAGATTCAAATACCTTACTTTTGAATGTAGTTTAATAACTACAAAGAATATTGTCATTGCTTTTTATCCACACAGCTTTCAAAGTATAGGCATAATTAGCAGCCTCGATTATTTGAAAATAAAGACATATACCAATAATTTTTTTTCCTTGTTATAACAGGCATTTCCAAGTTGCTTGATGATAAAAACCATCTTGGTGAAAGGCCTATTTTCAGCATCATCAGAAAGGTGTACTGGAGGCTAGCTAATTCAAGGATAAATCTAGTAATCTCAATTCCACTTCTACCAAAATCCACTTTAAATTATACATACACCTGTACTGATACACATTACATTTATACACACATATACTGTCAATATACTCTTGAAAAGTAGAAACTTAAAAGGGAATTGCTTATTAATATGTAATTTTTACACAATATTTATAATAAGTTACAGTTCAACCACTTTTCAGGTAAACATAAGTAAACTGATTCTTATTAACAGTTGAATAATATTCAAGTATGATACACTATGATGCTTAACTGTCTAAATACATACAAAGTACCTCATATTTGAACATTGAAACACTATCAGTACATACTCCAAATTTATCAATCTGATTTTTACAAATTAAAAAACCTAATACCTACTCTTGAAATACAGATAGTTTTTAAGACCTATGCTACACTAGTACCTTACCATAAGATTAAACAAAGCAAACTCCTTTTTTCTCTCTTGATATTTACAATTCAACACCAAACTGTAAAAACTTTCAGAATGTATCGACTATTATTTCATATTTAGGAATGATAAACTTTTGGTGTTGTACTTCACCTTCCACGAACATAAATGTGAACTGAAGACAACATATTTCCCCTTTCTACTGTCATATGTCATCTAAATATCTTATCTTGTACATCAATGATTCTCAAGGTGAGGAGACATCAAAATCACCAGAGTGTGTGTTTTTTAAATAACCCTATCTAAGATCTTAAACACTTTTTTCTCTACACACATTCCTTCTACTAAGGGTCACTGTCACAGTTAATGATCATTATGCACAGGAGTCTGTCTGCTACTCTGAAATGCAGTAGGCAGAAAAAAAAGGTTGAGAAACACTTAGCCAATGGTCCCTTGTTTATTTTCCCTTCTGTCATAACTGAACTCAAAGGTGACAAGAGAACAATCATGAATTCCCTATGGCAGATGAGCAACAAACTAGTTTAAGAATTAGATGTATGACGGGGCGCCTGGGTGGCTCAATGGCTTAAGCCTCTGCCTTCAGCTCAGGTCATGGTCTCAGGGTCCTGGGATCAAGCCCCACATCGGGCTCTCTGCTCAGCAGGGAGCCTGCCTCCCCCTCTCTCCCTGCCTCTCTGCCTACTTGTGATCTCTCTCTCTCTCTGTGTCAAATAAATAAATAAAAATCTTTAAAAAAAAAAAAAATTAGATGTATGACATTCTAAAGATTCCAAAATGAGTTTATCTCGGAACTACCAGAGAAGCTTGTTTAAAATACAGGCTCCTGGACTCCATCTCCAGAGATATTTATGAAGCAAAAGGCCTGGAAATCTATATTTTAAATAAGTAAGTGTATCAGAACTAACATTTAGGAAACTTGCCCTTACTTTTAAGATGTAACACTGGGGTCTGTTTTAATTCTTCTCTTTCTTTTCACATTTTCGTTTTTAAAGTCTTAAAGACTCAAACTCAAGAAACTTCCTAAGAATACTTTTTAAAGGCTATTTCCTCTTTTCTAAAAAAAAAAAAAAAAAAAAAAAGGCTGGGTCTATAAGAGACTTAAGAGACATAAGATTTAAGCATACTAATAAAACATTCAGATTTTGTGTAATGACAAATTACATTTAATCATTAGTTAAAAACTAGATGCAAAGTAGTTTGAGGTTATATCTGAGAAAAGAGAAAATTACAATTTCTAATTCTTTTTTTTTTTTTTTAATTTCTAATTCTTTTTAACTCTCTGATTTAAACGAATTAAAGGTTTGGTTTTTGGTGTTTTTTTTTTTTTTTTTTAAAGATTTTATTTATTTATTTGTCAGAGAGAGAGAGGGAGAGAGAGCAAGCACAGGCAGACAGAATGGCAGGCAGAGGCAGAGGGAGAAGCAGGCTCCCTGATGAGCAAGGAGCCCGATGTGGGACTCGATCCCAGGACGCTGGGATCATGACCTGAGCCGAAGGCAGCCGCTCAACCAACTGAGCCACCCAGGCGTCCCTGGTGGGTTTTTTTTTTAATATTCTATTTATTTATTTGACAGAGAGACAGTGAGAGAGACACACAAGCAGGGAGTGGGAGAGGGAGAAGCAGGTTCCCCACCGAGCAGGGAGCCCGACGTGGGGCTCGATCCCAGGACCCTGGGATCACAACCTGAGCCGAAGGCAGCCACTTAACTGACTAGACCGAGCCACCCAGGAGCCCCTTGTTTTGCTTTGTTTTGTTTTGTTTTGTTAAGATTTATTTATTTGAGAGAGAAAGAGAGGAGGAGCAGGGGGAGAGGGAAAAGAATCTTAAGCAGACTCTTCACTGAGTGTAGAGCCCAATGCAGGGCTCAATCTCACAACCCTTAGACCACAACCTGAGCCGAAATCAAGAGACAGATGCTTAACCGATGAGCCACCCAGGTGCCCCAATGTTTAGTTTTTAGTTCATACTGTACTATCAAATAAATTTGAAGATTTTTAACTCTGTGATGCTAAATTAATTAGTACAGACACAATAGTATATAGGCATTAAAATAATGATTCAGACACACAGGGCTTTAATATACAGCAGAAGTGTTGGCTAAGAAAGGTCATAATGTAACACCTATAATATTCCATTTGGATTAATTTTATGTGTGTATGTACAGAGATGTTCATTACAGAGAAACAACAAAATGTTAACAGTGGAATAGCAAAGTTACCAGAGATGGGAGGATTTAGGATAAATTTTTATTTCATATCTATCCTTTTCAGTATTATTTTTATGACCAAACAAGCTATTTTTATTTGAAAAGGTAAGTCTGGGGCTTTAACATACAAAACAATGTAACTAGCAATCTTCTTCAAATAACCAAAACAGTAGATATGAATGCCTGAACTAAGTATTAGTAATAGAAGGGTAAAACAATCAACAGAAATCTTAGATTTACTTCATCAAAGACAGGTCACTTCTAATTCCTTATTTCTTAGCATCATTCAAGAACACTGAAGAAATCCAAATAAGTTGATTACTTTCTTCATAATTTTTATTAACTAACCCCAAAATGAAGTATAAAATCAACAATAAGATGGCTGCTTTAAAATTCTCCTTTAAGAATAGTAGAATTTTTAAAGAAGGCAAATAATTCAAACTCACAAGTTAAAGAAAAGTTCTAAAAGTCTCAAACAAAAAGTATGATTAAGATTTTAATTGCTGGAAGCATGAATATAATTTGTTCACATCCTTGGAGTCGTATGTCACTCAATGTGACATGACAGTGTTGGCAAAACATCAACTATAACCTGGAGGAGTAGAGAAAAAAAATGTTTCATATATCTAATAGGATAGCATTTAGCTCTCAAACTGCAAAGCCCTAATTCAAATGCCTAGTTATCTCATTTATTTTCTAGAAGCAACCAACCATACCAAGCTGCATTTCTTACACCTTACATTTGAAGAACTAAAGAAAAAAAAACTTTTTTTTATTTTTAAAAAGCTACATAAACATCCTAAAGTTAAACTTTCAAGAATGCCAACAGAAAAAAACTGCTTCCCATTGTTGGTACTTAATATTTATATCATCAATATTCACTTATTAAAACTAATTTTCATTCTGTGCTATCAACATACTGATTTGCCTTGTGGTAGTTTTTCTGGTTTTTTCAAGACTGATTTTTTGACACCTATTATGGTAAATCTTTTTCTTTCTTTCTTTTTTTCTTTTCTCTTTGTGGACAGCCTCTTGCCTTCTTAAGTCTTCCTGGCAGACTAGTGAGATGTCACAGGCGTGTAGCAGCCATTAACACTTATATATCTCTTCCCTCCCTTTTCTCTGCCCCCTCCCCGAAACTCTGCAGGCCTTGGAGATTTGGGTACTTTACATACAAACGAATAGACCAATACAATTTGACAACTTGAAAGACCTCTGAGTTCATTTTGTCCAAGGCCTCACTTTAGAGCTAGGCCTGGTAATGACTAACTTAACATCACACAGGGAGTAGTGCCCAGGAATAGATTCCGAGTCAGGTGAAATGAGGGTCAGCACACCAGTCTGCCAGATAATTGCATGACCCATAAATTGTGCTAGGGGCATGATGCCTGAACGCCAAGTTCAACCAGCAAAAATATGGAACACTTCACGAATCTATGTGTCATCCTTGCACAGGGACTATGATAATCTTCTGTACCATTTCGGTATTAGTTTATGGGCTGCCGAAGCGAGCACTATGGTAAATCTTACTTCTACGCCTCACACTTAAGATATGTAGCCTGAATAATTTTGATAATGTATCTTAGAGCAGATAAAAAAATTATAGTCTCCAAAGAACGGAGAAAGGTAATACAGGCTTAAAGAAAAGATAGGAAGAGAAAGAGAAGCAGGGAAATGCAAGTGGGAAAAGCAAGCAACAATAGTGAGCAAGCAGACATGACAACCAGAAAAAAACAGGTTCAGAATCAAATCCAGAGAAGGTTAAGAAATGACGGATAGAAAATACTCTGGTAAGTAGGAAAAAAAAGATAAATGAACCAAGAAGAGGAAAACCTAACAAAGAAAGAAAGAGAATAGCTCATTTCACTTACATGAATTCAGTCAATAAAGACAAACACACATATAAAACTAACCTGGTTTTCCTCCTGCACAACCCTATACTGTTCCTTCCAAATAGTGATTTTGGAAGCTTCATCTTTTCTCAGGGCTCGTTCTTTCTTCAGCTCTGGGCTCCAGAAAGTCTTGATGCTATTCATTGAAGAACTTAATTTGCTCTCCTTTACTTCCACATCCTTCCGCAAGAGATCATTTTCTCTTAATACTTCTTTCAGCTGCGTCTGCAGATCCATGATTGTATTATCTCTTGCCTGACGAAGAGAATGAGGAACAGTGGATGCCATACTCACAGGAGGGAGGTGATGCTCTCCAAATGCTATGGTGTCACTAGCAACCCCACTGCTAGCTATATTGGGGCTACTGCCCATAGCAGTCATCCTGACACCATACGGCAGACGTCCCCCAGAACGGCCAAGTGTCATGGTGCTTTTAGGTGTTTCTGAACCCACATTTTCATGGTCACTTAGGTACATAGGGCCAGATGTGGCATAGGCAGCATTTAAGGACTGGATATTCTCCATTGAAAGGGTTTTCCCACTGCCACCTCCAACACTGCTTCCAGAACTCCCTCCTGTACTATTGGTTCGACGATGACCCAAGCGAGGGGAACGTGGAAGCCTAGGTGAACGCCCAGGGCTCTGGTTGCTCGGTTCCACCTTCCCAACTGAGCGAGCACTTCCATACATGGCTGCAAGATGAACTTCGGTGCCAAGAAAGGTATAAAGCAGAAAGCAAAATATGAAATTCTGTGAGGTTTTTGATGGCTCTAAGTCTGCTTAAGGCTAATCAGAAGTAACACGTCTTCGGCTGTCCAGTCTTGAAGAAATACCTTACACCATATCTGCAATGAAAAGATCACACATTAAATCCCCCAATAATAAACATCTGCCTCTCAGAAACTTTTCATTACCCCACCATAAGAAAGATCTCCCTTTCTATCATCTATTTATTCATGCATTCAAAATTCATGCATTACAGCACATTTTACTGTAAACATTGTTTTTAACAGTATTTTGCACGTATGTCTCAAAACTGAATATTAAAACCATGCCATGCAAGTGGAAAAGAAAAAGAAATAAGAGGCATAAATACTAGCAACGAAAAGATAGAACTCAATGCTTGAACATATGATTTTCTAACATGAAAAGCCAAGATCATAAACTATTAAGTTAACAGAAATCTACAAATCGGTCAGATACAAGATCAACATATAAATATCAGTACTTTCCCTGCACATTAGTAATAACAATTAGAAAATGCAATCTAAAAAGAAAAATCCCACTCACAATAGCAACAAAACCATAAAAACACTTTGGTATAAATCGAATAAAAAGGTCCAAGTATGAAATACTTCATATCCCAATAAAAATCTCTATAGGGTTCTCCAAATAACTCAACAAGCTGACTCTAAAATTCAAAAAAAAGAGTAAAGGTCTAAGAATAATCTAAACAATTTGCAACAGAAGAACAAAGAAGGAAGATGTTCCCTAAATAGCAAGATAAATTACAGGTCCGTGATCCTTTACTTGCAATCCAAAATCATAAAACCTCTAAAAAGTAAGTTTTGTTTCTTCTTAACCCATTTAGCAGCAAAACCTGACCTGATCTGGTATGATGAGGTCACTTAATTGTTTATAGGTATTATTCATACCTCGTTGAGAAAACAATGTATATGATTACAGGATACTACATAATGTCCACTGGGTATCAGGGGGAAAAATCTGGACTCCAAATCACATCTGACCGCCAGGATTTCTCGTAAGGACTCACAGGCTTTTAAAGGTACAGTATTTAAAACTGTATAGCACATGTTCAAGAACACAGCCTAAATTGTATATGTAAGTTTAGTATATCCTAGTATATGGACTTTCAAAAGAGTGAGAAAAAGTCAAATCATTCAATAAATGGGGTTTGAACAACTGGTACTCTTGGAAAAATAAATTACATCCCTACTTCACACAGTACACAGAAATAAATTTTATGTACATTAGAGATATAAATTTTGGTTTTTTTGTGAGTGTGTGTGCAAGCGCATCGTGAACAGGAGGGAGAGGCAGTGCAGACGGAGAAGAGAGATTCCCAGCAGGCTCCATTCCCAGCATGGAGCCCAAAGCAGGACTCAATCTCACCTCTCTTGAGACCATGACCTGAGTCGAAATCAAGAGCTGGATGCTTAACTCACCGAGCCACCACATGCCCCAAAGATATAAATTTTAAAACTATCAAAAGTACTGGAAGAGGGGCGCCTGGGTGGCTCAGTGGGTTAAGCCTCTGCCTTCGGCTCAGGTCATGATCTCAGGGTCCTGAGATTGAGCCCTGCATCGGGCTCTCTGCTCAGCAGGGAGCCTGCTTCCTCCTCTCTCTCTCTCTCTCTCTGCTTGCCTCTCTGCCTACTTGTGATCTCTCTCTGTCAAATAAATAAATAAAATCTTTAAAAAAAAAAAAAAGTACTGGAAGAAAACTCAGAAGAACACCATTGTGAACCTGAGTTAGGGTAGGGCTTCTTAATTAAGAAACAAAAAGCAAAAACCATAAAGAAAAGCAAATAATAATTGGGGAACCTGGGTGGCTAAGTGGGTTAAAGCCTCTGCCTTCGGCTCAGGTTATGATCCCAGGGTCCTGGGATGGAGCCCCGCATTGGGCTCTCTGCTCAGCAGGGAACCTGCTATCTCCTCCCTCTCTCTTTCTCTCTCTCTCCCTCTGCCTGCCTCTCTGCCTACTTGTGATCTCTGTCTGTCAAATAAATAAAAATTAAAAAAAAAAATAATATATTTAATTATGTCAAAAGGGCAAAGTATTATATCAAAAAATACCTTAAGCAAAATTACAAGAGAAACGAAAAACTATATCCATATATGTATGGAAAAATATATCCATATATGTATAAAGATCCATCACAACATGTATTAAGAATTCGTACAGGGAGGGGCGCCTGGGTGGCTCAGTGGGTTGAGCCACTGCCTTCGGCTCAGGTCATGATCTCAGGGTCCTGGGATCGAGCCCCGCATCGGGCTCTCTGCTCAGCAGGGAGCCTGCTTCCTCCTCTCTCTCTACCTGCCTCTCTGCCTGCTTGTGATCTCTCTCTGTCAAATAAATAAATAAAATCTTAAAAAAAAAAAAAAAAAGAATTCGTACAGGGAAATGCCAACTTTGAAAGAGTAATGATAAGAAGGATGGGAACCTGTATTGTAAGACAGGGTTGGGGCCAAAATGTTTATGGAAGCTTTAGGTTCACTTTATATTCATACTACAATAAAACTCAAATTTTGGGGGGGCACCTGGGTGGCTCAGTGGGTTAAACCTCTGCCTTTGGTTCAGGTCATGATCTCAGAGTCCTGGAATCAAGCCCCACATCCCCCCCATCGGGCTCTCTGCTCAGTGGGGGCCTGCTTCCCCTCCCCCTCTGCCTGCCTCTTATCTCTCCCTCTGTCAAATAAATAAAATCTGTTAAAAAAAAAAAAAAGGGCCTCAAAATTTTTTGAAGAAAAATATGTTCATATTCTACAAGAATAATTAAAAACCAATTTTAAAAACACATTACCACAACTATCTACTGTCCACACTTCTCTCAAAAATAAACAAACTAGACCTCCATGGCTTCCTAATATAGTACCTAAGAATTGCCTTAGATCAAGTAACAGGCATCAGCACATTAAATATTTTCCAAAATACTGTCAAGTAGAATTCTTTTTTTTTTTTTTTTTTAAGATTTTATTTATTTGTCAGAGAGAGAGGGAGAGAGAGCAAGCACAGGCAGACAGAATGGCAGGCAGAGGCAGAGGGAGAAGCAGGCTCCCTGGCGAGCAAGGAGCAGGATGTGGGACTCGATCCCAGGACGCTGGGATCATGACCTGAGCCGAAGGCAGCCACCCAGGCGTCCCTGTTAAGTAGAATTCTTAAAAGTGTTTCTTCACTGGGGCACCTGGGTGGCTCAGTCAGGGATATTCCAGTGGTGAGACTGAGCCCCGAGCTGGTTCTGCGCTCAGTGGGGAATCTGGTTGTCCCTGCCTCTCCCCTTTTGGCCCCCCAACTCGCATGCACACCTTCTTTCTCTCTCTCTAAATTAAAAAAAAATTTTAAGTGCTTCTTGGGGCACCTGGGTGGCTCAGTTGTTAAGCATCTGCCTTCAGTTCAGGTCATGATCCCAGGGTTCTGGGGTCGAGCCCTGCATCGGGTTCCCTGCTCAGCGGAAAGCCTGCTTCTCCCTGTCCCACTCCCCCTGCTTGCATTCCCTCTCTTACTGTCTCTGTCAAATAAATAAAAATCTTAAAAAAAAAAAAAAAGTGCTTCTTCACTGAAAATATTACCCAAGTAACTGACATGTCAAAAATAGGATTGTAAAGAAACTCCACGCACTTCAGTCACACTCAAACAGGTTACTCTTCAGAAATATGAATACACTGGCAATCTCACCTTAACATTAGTAAAGACAGCCCCAGTGTAACAACAAGCAGAACAGAAAATACACAGAGCCTGAAACTTTAAGGTTCCATCTCAGAAACAGCAATAGTATACCAAGTTCGGAAACTGCAATATTCTACTAGTAACATTAGGAAATTCCTCTCCAGGAATAACCTAGCTTAAGAAGTAAAAGTTTCTTTCCATGCTTTTTTTTTTTTTTTAAAGTAAGCGCTATGCCCAACATGAGGCTTGAACTCACAAGCCCAAGATCAAGAGTCATGTGCTCTAGTGACTGGTTCATGATAAATCTGAACTGTGAGGCAGGTGACCTACATTTAACTGTTTGAATTTTATTTCAAGATCAAAGAGAGATGCAAAGCTTTTTCTTTTTTTAAATAATCTGAATGCTGTTTAAAATAAGAGAGCCATTCATTATCCAGAATCCCTTAAATGATAACAAAAGCTAACTGAATATTTACCATATGTCAGGCATTGTGCTAAAAATTTTATAAGATCTAATTTAATATTTAAAAGCCTCCCATAACATAGGTACTATCATTATCTCCGTTTCAGAAATGAAGCAGGTAAGGCTTATGGATGTTAAGTGACATCTAAAGTCACATAGCCATTAAGTGGTAGGGTCAAGATTTGAATTAAGGTGCCTAATTCCACAGTTCTGGAGGCTCTTAACTACTGTGCTTAACCAGGATCATCTGCTGATGAGAACATCTCAACTGTTCAAAGGATATTAAAGGCTTCCACAGTTTTAAGGCAGTGTGTCCTGCTAATCTAGTACTCAATTAAGGCAATTATAGGTGTTCCAGGTATAAAGCTTAAATAATCACACTAATCTTTCTATTAAGGAGAAAGTCTTTTTTATAAGATGGTGGGCGAAAGAATAAAGTAAGTAAAACTAACAAAATAAGTAGTAATAATAATTCAGAGTCTCCAGAATCATGACATCAGAACACTAAACTGGCACACTGAAGAAAAAAAATTCCCAACTGTGCTTTTGTGCAGAATTCTATTTTTGTGTAGCCAAGTAACTAAATCACACTGAATAGGCTAAGATCCAATAACAAATATTCCCACCAAGTTTTCAACATTAGCAGGTGCACTCTAATGTTCAAGTCACCTTCAGATCTAAAATGGCATTTGCATGTGGAGTCTTTGCTATTATCAGAACTATAGCCATTTACACAACAAAAGGAAGAAATTTACTAGCTCTGAATTCCTCACATTGACTTTTTAATCTCATGGGCTTCAGGGAATATAGTGTTCAAAAATTTTTTTCTTTTAAAAATATGCCAGACACACAACCACAAAAATAATAATTCTTGCACTTTAAACAACTGACAAAAAAGAATTCTGACCAAAAAAAAGTTATACAGTATGATTCCATGTATGTAGAATTCTAGAACTAATTTATTATGACACAAAGC